CAGTTGTTTTCTGTATAAGGAACTATCGTTTTATTAAAAATAATGACCGCGTTATGTTTCCTAAGAAAATCTGGCGACAATATAATGAATGCAGAGATTGAGATTAATTCCGTATGGAGGTAAGAGGATCGATCCTTAACCATAGACGTTTGGATTCCATATAACGGGGTAAGGATCCTTAATTAAACCTAGTGACGTCATGTAATGAGCACGGACGTTGTCTGATTGTCAAGATACGAATATGTGCATTGGTTTTACACAGTGACCTGAGAATTTCTTACAGCTATAGCTACATATGTATTTGGTATATTATCATCATTAAGGGTGGATTTATTTTACCGAAAATTGATCTAAATCCCTAAAACATGTAAACTTACTCTAAACACCTTAGCTTAGGTCCAAATATAGCTGTAACAAATTCTCGGGTCCCTGTTGTCATACACAGCCCACCTGTAGTCTAACCGGTTCTGTAAGTAACTGGGTATGTATTACTAATTACCAAGTACGAGAAACAGTCGTTTGTAATTATCCGGCTAACAAAAGCATGTCAGTCTGAACAAGAACTACAGCGAACAATAGAACACAATATTACTAAATATGATCTTTTCTCCCTGAATTCTGTTATGACCACAAATACAGAACTTTCCCGAAGTCAATGCCCATTGTAGAGTGTAATAAACGCCCAAACGTAAACAAAAGCGACGCTCCTTCAACACCATTCCATAAATAAATATAGTTGTATGAAATGTAAACATGTTATAAGAAATGTAGACGGATGAATATCTCTGATTGCAGTTAGAAATAAAATATAAAATGTGATGGGCCAGTGATTTCACCTATCATTTAATAAATGTCGGTACTTAATGCAGTGTTTACCGGGTGCTTACATGGAACTGAACTGAATGAATCAGTTATGCACTTCCGGTAAACCAGACGTGGCGAATTTTAAAAAATTCAACTGGAAGTGACGAAAGGTGCACGAGTGCATTACTCATAACTCAATATATACCAAAACAATCTCAGGTAGAGAAAAATGGATTGGTTTTGATAAGGTGCTGCTTATACCGGACCTGACAAGTTATGTAACTGTCATGTACCACAGGGGCCTGATAAATCAGTCATGTCTGTTTTGCTTCCCCTGTGTCAAATATCATGGTGGTTTAAATCTATTTCTTACACTTTTTCTTGTGTTGTGGTAGATGTTTTTATCAAAACTTAAATACATGGATTTTGTTCCAAAGTCCTTACTAATCTTTTCTCAAACTTCTTCCAAGATTTCAGATGTAGATTCTATGTTCATATTACATAATAAGTTTGTCATCTGAATTCTTGGTACATGCTAGCGGAGACACATGGGCATGTGCATGCTTATACAGGAACAGAGACGTGTAAAAGCTAGTACAGACACAGGGGCGCATAAAAAATAATGCTAGCACAGACACAGGGAAATGTAAATGATAATAGTGCCACAGGGGCTTGTAAACTATCGTCGATATACACGAATAATTATATGAGTATGCTAGCACATTTACACAGGGATTTATATATTCTAGTCAAGGCATATTGATATAATTGATTATCATACGAGTATTCACTTGACGAGATAAGAATACCCTTGACTCGTGTTGACACTCTACTTAAACATCCACTACCAGACTTGAGCCACTTTACGTACAATGTTTACTAAATAACACCTCAATGTTTACACATCGCCACCTCCATTGTGTGTACAAACAGCCCTGATGTTTTAACCTTCACGTGGGGATGTTCTGTGTTTGTTAATATATTTAGAAGCTGTCTATACATAACTTGAAATTAAATCCGTTTCAAATATTGGCTAATTAATCCAAACTAATCCGTGAATAAAAACGAGTTATGACCAATGACCACCTTCAGGTCAAGATGGTCAAGATATCCTTTATAAGATTTATTGTTTCAATGTCTGTACGAAATACCATCAACACTCCTAAAGGTTTCGCCACAAACACTAATCCAAATATAGACCCTCGGTGGTCGGGTGGTGCAGTGGATAGCGTACTTGCGTTTCACCAAGGTGGCCGGGGTTCGATTCCCCGATCGGACGTGAAAAAGTTGGGGTCACCTGCCCGGCCACGGGTTTTTTCCGGGTACTTCGGTTTCCTCCCACACTACTAAGACCGCCCCCGCCCCCAACTCACCACAACCACCACGCGCTAACATCCGGGCCAGCAAGGGTGATTAATATAAGTTGAAATAACTTGTTTCATAATTGTTGTTAAATATGTAAACAACCCTCGCCACTTATACCACTACGAAACTTGATTCATGGTTTTCATCGTTCTTGCCTACAAACAATAATGTGTTTTTTAAGGTCGATTGTTTACATTTCTAACATGGCTTTCTTGACAGAGATATAAACGTGTACATTTAAAGACACCGCTTCAGTTCACAATCCGTTCTACAAGACGTCTGATTCGTACACACACAATGTTTACATTCATCAATGAATGGACTCCAGTTGGGTCAAATTTCGTCCTAGGTCGCCGTGTATCGCCCTGTATTGTTACAAAATAGAGACTTCAAACTGTGTGTACATAAGGATACACCGTCCTTTATGAGCTTTACTAAGAATTACAATGGTTAACAATTCTGACGTCATATTATATAATTATCTACGCAATCTGGTTTGGGCTGTTTGTGCTTTACGTCCTTTTACGGCTCTGCTATGGTCATTTTCCAGCCAGGTTTTGGTGGTGGAGGAAAACTGGAGTTTCCGGGGAAAACCACCGACAAACGGCCAGTACCTGGCGACTGTCCCACATAGGCCTCGAACCCGCGACCCAGTGTTCGTGGGCTCGTGGTAGCAGAATGTCAGACGCCCCACTTCAGGCCACCGCGGCCTCTTTACGAGCCAAGAGGTTAATGCTTAAACAGATACTGTTTTTTCATTTTTTTCTGCAGAATATGGGAGTTTGTGCGTTTTTATCTTCTGTTATCGTTCCATTACTATTGCCAGGCGGTTATCCAGGAGATATGTTCGCTATTATATCCTTGTGTTATACAGTAAGAATGAGTGAGCGCAATACACGTGCATTCTTGGAATAGACAGCACGACTTAAGGGTAACCGTTATTATGGTGTCTCGGATGTACCTAAGTAAATGACTGCGCGAGAGCTCGTGACAACCTCATTCCGCGACATGTTTTCCATGTTAGCAAGATCATTGTTGCTTCCCTTAAAAATATATTTGCGTCCCATATACCTTTTTAATTAAGACGCTTCAAATTGATATTCGGAGAAGTGATACGTGAGAAAATTCATACAGAAACCTGTATATTGGTTTAGAGATGAAACTAAAATCTCTCACTAATGAAGTTTGAAGGATGTGTTTACGCAATACTTGATGGCGATATACCAGACGCTTCGTGTTAGTCGTTAGCTTCAAATAAAGTCGCCCCATTATATACTTGTTAATTAAAACCTACTGTGGTCAGTCGGTATAACGTATCTAGTAAACTTCTTTAATAAGACACCTGTTCATTTTAACCGTTGGATAAACTGTATCTAGGAAACCTCTCTATAACGACACTTTTATATTGTGACCATTAAAGTATACAGAAATTCCCTTTTCTCTTTAATAAAACATCTGTCCACCCAGTCGGTAAACCTCTCTTAACCAGACATATGTCTATCCTGACAAGTCTATATAACGTATCCAGTAAACCTCTCTAAGAAGACACCTGTATATCCTGTCCAATCGGTATAGCGTATCCTTTAAACCTCTCTAAGAAGACACCTGTATATCCAGACCAGTCGGTAAAGTGTATCCTTTAAACCTCTCTAAGAAGGCACCTGTCTATCATGCTGGCCAGTCGGTATAGCGTATCCTTTAAACCTCTCTAAGAAGGCACCTGTCTATCATGCTGGCCAGTCGGTATAGCGTATCCTTGAAACCTCTCTAAGAAGGCACCTGTCTATCATGCTGGCCAGTCGGTATAGCGTATCCTTGAAACCTCTCTAAGAAGGCACCTGTCTATCATGCTGGCCAGTCGGTATAGCGTATCCTTGAAACCTCTCTAAGAAGGCACCTGTCTATCATGCTGGCCAGTCGGTATAGCGTATCCTTGAAACCTCTCTAAGAAGGCACCTGTATACCCTGACCAGTCGGTATAGCGTATCCTTTAAACCTCTCTTAGAAGACACCTGTATACCCTGACCAGTCGGTATAGCGTATCCTTTAAACCTCTCTTAGAAGACACCTGTATACCCTGACCAGTCGGTAAAGTGTATCCTTTAAACCTCTCTTAGAAGACACCTGTATACCCTGACCAGTCGGTATAGCGTATCCTTTAAACCTCTCTTAGAAGACACCTGTATACCCTGACCAGTCGGTAAAGTGTATCCTTTAAACCTCTCTTAGAAGACACCTGTATACCCTGACCAGTCGGTAAAGTGTATCCTTTAAACCTCTCTTAGAAGACACCTGTATACCCTGACCAGTCGGTATAGCGTATCCTTTAAACCTCTCTTAGAAGACACCTGTATACCCTGACCAGTCGGTAAAGTGTATCCTTTAAACCTCTCTAAGATGATACCTGTATACCCTGACCAGTCGGTATAGCGTATCCTTTAAACCTCTCTAAGAAGACACCTGTCTATCATGCTGGCCAGTCGGTATAGCGTATCCTTTAAACCTCTCTAAGAAGACACCTGTATACCCTGACCAGTCGGTATAGCGTATCTTTTAACCACTCTAAGAAGACACCTGTCTATCATGCATGTCAGGCGGTATGTCGTTCCCAGTAAACCTAGTGTGAAGATTGCATACCCGCAATATCTCTGTGCAACCACTGTAAAATACACTGTCATGATAAACGTCTATCGTCACGGTGCTTTGCTTTCACGGTGCATCGCAATAAAATGTCACCGTTCTGTGACATTACTATATAACTATATCATAAAACCTCTATAAAACAATCATACGACTATATTGACAAAACATGAAGTAATCAAATCACTTACTTGATTTACAGCTTAATCCGATACATTTGCATTCCGGTGCCGTATCCCCACTTATACAGAGACAATCTCCACACGGATTTCTTGTTTCACAAATTTCCGGAACTCCATAATATTGACCGGCTCTTGGTTCTGCAACTGCACGAACCAAAGAACACGAACAATTTCCGTAAATCACATTTCGGAATGAACTTCGTAGACCTTTCACAAACATAACCGAAGGTAACGCAAGATTCCTCAGGTTGGTGCTGAAGTGATGCTGAGGCATTCCTCCAAAATAAACTCCACTATTATTCTGGATGTCTCCAAAATGAAAATCGGAGCCATAGGAAAGCCTTCTCAGGGTCCCATCTGTATCGTCATCAATTGTAATGCTGGTCGCCATTCTCTTTCTCTGCACCGACACTTTGTGCCATTTATCATCAGCGAGATTTTCTCCAATAAGAAATTCAACACTTCCGTCTCGACCATCGACGATATTAAGACGCATTCGCAGGACACCGTCTACTAACACGAGTTCGAAGAAATCGTAGGTCCCTGCATCGTCCGTGTACATCAGAAGGCCGTTTACTTGTTGAGTTTTGAACTCGAAACTTATTGAAGCATTTGTGCATGCATTCCATTTAGGATATTTTGCGTAAGAGCCGACTCTTCCGTCAAGCCGAATTCCATTTGTATTTGTTAAACATATTAAGCACACAAAGAAAAGAAATAATAATTTTGTCGAGTATGAAGAAACGACCAGACAAGACAGCCCCATGACTGCCTGAGTTGGTAGTAGCACCGTCCCGGACGTGTGAGGTTGTGCTACCGTCTGGTCAAAGCGTGTCTGTAACACTAGTAGTGTTAGGTATCTTAACCCTCCACACACATAATAGGTCCAGTGTGTCCAGTCGTCATTCCTGATGTAACTTATCCCGCTATGAACCGACACACACCACAGGGGGACTTATTTCTGTGGGGTAGTCATATACGTGTGGGAGAGCCCACTCACCGACTGACTGTGTAGGTATATATATATATGTGTGTGTACCCTCTGCACTGCGAGGTGCTAATATTCCACGGCTTGCATAGCACTCGAAGCGTTTGTTGGTCTTTTGCATATACACATGTACGGGAATTTACCGGGTCTATTTCTGAATCGAGCCACACTCACCCCACAGATTATACAGTAAAATCAAAAATGTCACGGTAAGCAGATAAGCTCTGTTTGTAGGGAGGGGGTCCCTTTCTCCTCTCACCTTCCTCTCGGCGCTTACTGAAAAGTCCCAGGCAACGCTTCTGTGTAACACGGAACTCCACAACGACGACGAAATTTACATGTTCAGTAGTCCCTCCTTAAGACGAAAAAGTCGAAACCCCCACCACCACGACTACACACCTGTATAACGCACCTTGGAGTGGGAACCAAACACACATACACACGTTATACATAACAAAACGATCAAACGTCTCTCACCTGTGATTTTTAAAACTTTAAGGATAGGTACATACAAGCCCCACCTATGATTAATCACCTTCACTTCCCACTGCCCCCAGTCTCGACACATCAGTGCACACTCCTGTCGATTACAAACTTAATTTCAACCATGCATATAATATGCGTCGGGTTTAGCATGTAGCATGTAGCATGCATCGCTTGTTTGGGGGCAGGTTTGAACCGCTACGGAAAAATTAAAGGTTTGGTACGTCTATGATAACGTTGTAATCGTTAAAGCGTCACGGCGCCAGTGTTAGCCTATATTTTACCTATATATCACAAGAGCTACTGTTCGGGATATAAGAAACACACGGTTTGTTATTACAACTATGTATTGCTGCGCAAATTCATTTTATTATATTTGTCTTCAAAATAAAACTTTTCTGTTCATTTCCTCCCGCTTTCAATGTCTTCTCCAAAATATTTCATTTATTTCTTTTCTGTATACTAGAATAAGCAATATTTACTCCATCTGTTTCGTCTACGTAAGGTCGCGCACTGACAATATGGCCGACGTATAGATGAATCTTACATCCCAGTGTTATGTATATTTTATTACGTTTCGACCTACCTTCTCAAACAGGTATATTTTTTACCTGGTATTTGTCATTCGAAGGTGGGAGGATTTATTGCCACCGCAAGCTATGAGATAAGGGCCTGGTAGTATTGCCGTACTCCGCATCATAGATACCATAAGTACCGCACGTCAAAACTGGTTTAAAAACTAAACGGACTTTAAACGTCTTATCTGGCACTGGTGAATACGAGTTTGTTATATATCATATTAACAGGAAATTCACTTTCTTTATCTTTTCATGAGTTGAATGAGACTTTGAATGTTTATCTAAAACATAAGTAAGTCTAATCACTCTGCAGCTGTAGTGGAAGGTAGCTAGCACCACGAAGTAAGAATGGTGTGTGATTTGTATGTAATTAGAAGTAGACTTATCAGAATTGTTTATCAATCTATCACAGAGGGTATTTATGCCGGGACGCGGTGTTTTTATTCTATGCGGCAAACACTCCGTCACTTAAAACACGTATTTAAATATAAGACTGTATAATCAGCGAGGTAGGGTACTTTCTTCGTGATATTCTACTTTTGACAAGAAATTCGAACAAAATATTGAATAACAGTGAACAACTCATTTCCAGACATAATATAAACTTATTCTGTGAACCTGCCAGATTCAAATTGCGTTCACAATGCAAATAGTGTGTCTTTCTTTTCATCATTTGTCAACATAGCGCTTGCTAGTCTTCTAATATATAAAAACAGAATTTGTCGAAACTTAATGTGCAAATCGAGAGCCTAACCCTCGGGTTTCGAACGGATCAAAATTAACAGTATGTGTTATAAATTCGAATGAATGGCATTGTTTGGAGACGGATTAAATCTGTTTGCCGAATACTTAACAATTGCGTAGAAAGTATTCATGTATGAGCTGTTTTTCGTTGATTGATAGCAAAATACACGTAACGTCAGAAAACGAGGATTAAGTAAAGTGGATTATAACAGGAAGTACCTAAGGCGTAGGTACGCGTGTATGCCAGCTCATTTCGGAATATTGTATGTCAAATAAAGAAAACAACAACAGCATAGCAAATTATGAAACTTATTTCTGTACTGTCGACATGTTTTACTGTCTTTTTAATAACAAATAACGATGATAACACTATACTTAGTATCAGCATATACGCCACCGGGAGGTTCGGACAAAGAAAAGGCCTGCCGCATACCGCTACATGTCTTAAGAGGCGACTAACATGGGTACCCAGCAGAATCGGGGTGGGGGAGGGGGGATCTATGCTTTCTGATTAGGGATCATTGCTCCCCCTACCCGTCCGTATATGACCCATACAGTTGCGAAGATGTTAAACCCTAAACAAAGACAACATCTGCTGACCTCCACTTGCAACACTTCGGAATCTGTTCTTGTCTCGCTTCCATTCTCTTTTCAGTGCTGACTCCCCAGACACCCGTCTTCATGTGACCTTTGACATCTGCTGTTACGACCTTTGGCTGAACAGTCAATGTTGGGTCGCGAAACAGCCAATATAACGGGAGCAAGCAATGTAGCCTCGTTTTGACGAGATTTTCCCTTAAAAGTTATATACCATAAAAACAAGATAACTAGAGCGATCACAATATACCGGTTTATCATAATGGAATTGGATGAACTCAAATGGCAGGGAAGAGTTTATAGTTTTCTTCAAGTTCGGTCGTTGAAGAATCTCCAGTTTGTAGCTTTTAAGTACAATATAGATACCAATGTTCCTCAAATTAAAATGGGAACAAAACATTCGTGTCGTGCACCATAAGAGTATATATGTACCACAGCAGGGCGACATACTCTACTGTTTATATATCTGATCGAATAAATTATTTCATTATCTTCAGACAAATTTAAATATTTATTTTTAAACTTGCATCGTCAATTCATTTAACCATGAAAACCACATAAGACATCGTCACTTCATTAAACCATGAAAAACGTATAACCTATTTAGAAAAACAAATTTAAAATAATTATTTGCATTTTGTGGCTTTGCTGAGAATTGATAGTCCATTTTATAGCTTATACGTTTTATGTTACGACACCATTCACGTTTCTTTCAGAAAACCGGAAGTGAGAAACAGTTGTGAAAAATACTACTGGAGCATAACAACGATTTGACAAATTGGGGCTCTGAGAGGAACCGTGCTTTAAAGTCTACAACACGTACAGCTACTGAGGTAGAAAGCTACGTCAAACAATCAAATTGTACTTGGGTGTTAATCAGTTTTATCTTTGAACTAGTAAAACTAGATTCGACGTTGAGAACAGGTGTCCTATGAATTATCTCCCCCTTGCTGTTCCTTCCTGAAGAATTGTCTAGACACCTTGCGTGTTGGATAACAACGCATTCCCAGATAAAAGCCGACGTTTGATTGGCTGAAACTTATCACGGAGCGCGACACGGGTGATAATGTTATATATAATTCGCTCTATCTGTTGCCCTCGTATGTTCTGGAGCATCCTAACAGCTTCTGTTGGAACCTGCGGGAAGTTATGTATGAGCATACCGTGGAGGATGAGTGTATTCGCATACAAAAATAAATCACCATGAAGTGTAGCCGAGTGAACTATGTAAAAGAAAGACAACTCCGGGTGTAACATACACGCAAATCACAGATACTGGCGATAGTACATCCGGGCTTCACTCATCATATTTTTTTTTTTTTTTCAAACTGAGTTTAGCGCCTATCGGACATAAGCCTGTTTTCTATCGTTACACATGTTAGGGTTTTAAATATTCATTGTTTATCCTTTTATGAAGCTATAATCGCTAGTGGGTCCGTAGGAAAATATTTTATCCCATTTCTTAATAGTCAGAGGGGTCTAAATAGAAATCAGGGTTTTCGTTTCTGTCCTTTTCTTGGAGACAAAAAAAAAAAAAAAAAAAAAAGATCTGCTGTTCCCATGACAACACTGGTGGCCTCTCTGTCGTTTCTCTCCTACCTACGTGTCCCCATTCAGTTGTGTCTACCTGGGCCCGTATTGATGAAACCATCATCATGCTCAAACTCGCATTTTGTGCTCAAACTTGCATTTTGTGCTCAAACCAAATATCTTGTTCCGTTGATAAATTAAGAACAAAATCCATTTTATTAAGAACTTGGAGAAAAGAAATTAAAGAGACTTTAAACCGGATTTTGTTTTGAATAGGACTTACTGACGGTATCTAATGTTTAAGTGTATTAATGAGAGTGGCTTTGGGCGAAGAATCCGTGCTTGAGCACGAGAATGCTTTCATAAATACTGGACTGAGCTTCTTTGGTTAGACTCGAGGTGGCGTGTCATTCTGCTACCATGTCAACATTCTGACATTTCAGTGAAATTGCATTTTAACATAACCTTTGGTTGGTCCCTACTTCTGTTGACATCGTCGTCATATGACCTTATCTGTTGTGTGGACACCGTGGTCTTATGATCTTAGCTGTTGTGAAGATAATGTCGTCATATGTGGACACCATCATCATATGTCTTTAGCTGTAGTATGGACACTGTCGTCATATGACCTTATCTGCTGTATGAACACTATCGTCACATGACCTTATCTGTTGTGTGGACACTGTCGTCATATGACTTAAGCTGTTGTGTGGACACTGGGGTCACATGACCTTATCTGTTGAGTGGACACTGTCGTCATATGTGGACACCATCATCATATGACTTTCGCTGTTGTATGGACACTGTCGTCATATGACCTTATCTGTTGTGTGAACACTGTCGTCATATGAACTTATCTGCTGTATGAACACTATCGTCACATGACCTTATCTGTTGTGTGGACACTGTCGTCATATCACCTGATCTGTTGTGTGGACACTGTCGTCATATCACCTGATCTGTTGTGTGGACACTGTCGTCATATCACCTGATCTGTTGTGTGGACACTGTCGTCATATGACTTAAGCTGTTGTGTGGACACTGGGGTCACATGACCTTATCCGTTGAGTGGACACTGTCGTCATATGTGGACACCATCATCATATGACTTTCGCTGTTGTATGGACACTGTCGTCATATGACCTTATCTGTTGTGTGGACACTGTCGTCATATGACCTTATCTGTTGTGTGGAGACTGTCGTCATATGACCTTGTCTGTTGTGTGAACACTGTCGTCATATGACCTTGTCTGTTGTGTGGACACTGTCGTCATAGGACCTTATCTGTTGTGTGGACACTGTCGTCATATGACTTTAGCTGTGGTGTGGAAACTGTCGTCATATGACCTTATCTGTTGTGTTGGCACTGTCTTCATATGACCTTATCTGTTGTGTGGACACTGTCGTCACATGACCTTATCTATTGTGTGGACACTGTCGTCATATGACCTTATCTGTTGTGTGGACACTGTCGTTATGTGACTTTATCTGTTGTGTTGACACTGTCGTCATATGACCTTATCTGTTGTGTTGGCACCGTCTTCATATGATCTGATCGGTTGTGTGGACACTGTCGTCATAGGACCTTATCTGTTGTGTGGAAACTGTCGTCATATGACCTTATCTGTTGTGTGGACACTGTCGTCATATGACCTGATCTGTTGTGTG